CGCTGGAGGAACAGCTTGCTGCTGTCCTGTGGATCGCGAGGTGATTCACTGCATGATGCAGCATCCGAGCCACAGAAGGATACGAACAAAGACAGTTGAGTTGATCATTACTGCTTTGCGGCCATCCCGACAGCAAAAGGTGAAGTTGCCCAGACAGCAATCTGTCCACTCAGCGACTCTATTCTGACCCGTCACAGAGGCAATGGCATTTCTACTACGGTAGTTTGCTGCTTTTCATGTACATGTATGAAAATGTTGGAGGGCATGTCAAAGAATACTATTATCCCGGCCACCAAACCTTGGACAAACTTTGGTCCAAAAAAGGTAACCCTTCCCTTCACAAAACCCATAACGATAGTTAGATATAAGGGGTAAAATCGGGCGTAGATTCCGATTTTGAGGTCTATTTTTGCGTATCTGCAACCATTGATCTCCCAATCGGCCGTTTAAAAAAGGCTCTATATCTTGCAGAATTGTTTGCAATTGTGGGCTTGGCACGTACTAACATGCATGCATATTCATTGGCAGAGCCGGGATAACAGGTGGGGATTTTCAGAACCGGATGGATAAATTCCAAATATTACCGCAATTTGACGATTGTTAGAAAATTATAAACTTGTTAAAAAGAACCCGTCAAAAGAATATCTAGAGTGTAAAGAACATACAACGGGTCACCCTACAGCTTCATTGTCATCGACGGCGTCATCCTCTTCCGTGTCCTCGTTGCTGCCCTCTGGTTCCGATGCAATTTCGCATTCATCACCTTGCTGCAGATATTTTGTCTCGTATTTCTGTGCGTGTGTGTATGCATTTACCCACGTATCTGACGTGAGCGATGCAAAACCTTCGTAGATTTTACAGCGTAGCTCAGGCATCAACCCACGATAAATTGGCGACATGGTGCAGGTTACAAAAAGTCTCGTCGAGATAAACCTCGGGGCGCACTGGAAAATTGCGTCTGTTCAGGTTTAAAGCTTTTTTTCTCAAATATTGCGCCCTGAACGCAACATTTGCCGTCGTTTCTGCCATAATATTGCGAGACCTTCCTTTTATAAATCGCATTCCCATCCTCCTAAGCACGCGACGTAGTGAGCGCACTGATACCACAATGTTGTGCTCTTCTTTAAGACGCTGTGCTAACTGTGGTGCTGCAACAGGTTTTCCGCTCTTGTTCATTCTTGACACCGACTCACGCACGAGAGGCTGTATGCTTTCTCCATGTTTCGGAGGCCTCCCAGATGGTTTTGGACCTTCCATCTGTCATAATTAATTTGTCGACCACTGAAATGATAAATATCAATAATAACTGAAATGATATGAAGTACAGCCTACCGAGGTGAAATTCTTGTCGTGGTGCTGCTCCCAGTGCGCCCATATAGCTGAAATGGTGCCCGTAGCAAAGCCTAAACACTCTTTGACATGATAACGAACTCCTCCTTTCCATAGATGCGGTGCAGAGGCCTTCTTTTGGCGGAGGAACTCGTAGGTCTTCACAACCAAGTACTTCTCAGCAGCAGTCAATTTCTTACCGGCGACCATTTGAAAAGTAGTGAACATTATTAGATGCTGTGAAGTTCTTACGAGAATAAATAGACACCAAGCTATCTATTAAGGGGACACACAACGAAATCGGCTCTACGGTTGCGGAGTTACATTCCTCTAATTTAAGATAAAATATATTACCATTTTTGTCCAAGCCTTTTTGGCCGGGATAATACATCAGAGGACTGCACCAAGCTTGACATCCATCAGCCGACCTCGGCGATGGTCTTTCTCAGCCAGCTGGTGATGGCTGTCCACGAGTGCCAAGAAGAGCTTTATAATACCGGTACCTAGTACAGTACTTCCACTCGAGCCTATCCTTGAGTGACCGCCGAAGATCGGCTTATGAGGATCCCATTTTCGCGCCGATCCGAAAATTCTCGCGACACAGGATTTGCCCGGACTGTTCCGCATGCCGACGCAGTTGATGCGAGTGGAGGACGGAGAACGGGAGGCATCCTGACACTCTTACGCCGTAACATGCTAACGCCTTCTACATCATTGTTCATATTTGCAGCAGGAGCACGCTTACTCGTGGCAAGATTGCTTCGAGCAAGCCGGCTGGATGTGCCAGTCCAATTTCCCATGTCCCAATCGCACCTGACCATGTTGAAGCCCCCTCTACTCTCCGTCGGAGAGTA